GAGGAAGACATAGACATGGCCAAGAAGCACAACAGAAAATGCTCCACATCACTGGCCATCAGGGAAATACAAATCAAAACCACAATGAGATACCACCTCACACTAGTAGGAATGGTGAACATTAACAAGACAGGAAACAACAAATGTTGGAGAGGATGTGGATAAAGGGGAACACTCTTCAACTGTTGGTGGAAATGTGAACTGGTACAGCCACTCTGGAAAACTGTGTGGAGGTTCCTCAAAGAGTTAAAAATAGAACTGCCCTACCACCCAGCAATTGCACTGCTGGGGATTTACCCCAAAGATACAGATGCAGTGAAAGTGAAACGCCAGGACACCTGCACCCCGATGTTTATAGCAGCAATGTCCACAATAGCCAAACTGTGGAAGGAGCCTCGGTGCCCATCGAAAGATGAATGGATAAAGAAGATGTGGTTTATGTATACAATGGAATATTACTCAGCCATTAGAAACAACAAATACCTACCATTTGCTTCAACGTGGATGGAACTGGAGGGTATTATGCTGAGTGAAGTAAGTCAATCGGAGAAGGACAAACAGTGTATGTTCTCACTCATTTGGGGAATATGAATAATAGTGAAGGGGAATATAAGGGAAGGGAGAAGGAATGTGTGGGAGATATCAGAAAGGGACACAGAACATAAAGACTTCTAACTCTGGGAAATGAACTAGGGGTGGTGGAAGGGGAGGAGGGCGGGGGGTGGGGGTGAATGGGTGACGGGCACGGAGGGGGACACTTGACGGGATGAGCACTGGGTGTTATTCTGTATGTTGGTAAATTGAACACCAATAAAAATTAATTTATAAATAAAAAAAAAGATGAATGGATAACGAAGATGTGGTATACTTATACAATGGATAATTACTCAGCCATTAGAAACGACAAATAACCATCATTTGCTTCAACGTGGATGGGACTGGAGGGTATTATGCTGAGTGAAATAAGTCAATCAGAGAAGGACAAACATTATATGGTCTCATTCATTTGGGGAATATAAAAATTAGTGAAAGGAAATAAAGGGAAAGGAGAGAAAATGAGTGAAAATATCAGTGAGGTTGATGGAACATGAGAGACACCTAACTGGGAAATGAACAAGGGGTAGTGGAAAGGGAGGTAGGCGAGGGGTTTGGGGTGACTGGTTGATGGGCACCGAGGGGGGCACTTGGCGGGATGAGCACTGGGTGTTATGCTAAATGTTGGCAAATTGAACTCCAATAAAAATATTTTTTTAAAAAAGAAGATGTGGTATGTATATACAATGGAATATCATTCAACCATCAAAAATGAAATCTTACCATTTGCAACAATGTAGATGGACCCAGAGGGTCTTATGCTAAGTGAAATAACTCAGAGAAAGATAATTATTATATGATTTCACTCATGTGGAAATCTATTTCATTCTATTACTCAATAGCGTATCAAAACTGTATCACAATTCAATAATGAGAGCATAGCCCAATTAAAAAGTTAGCGAAGAAGATATACAAATGGCCAATAAGCACATGAAAAGATGCTCAACATCATCAGCCATCAGAAATGCAACTCAAACCACAATGATACTACTTCATAGCTTTAGAATTGCTATAATAAAAATTATTGATAATGACAAGTGTTAAGAAGTAGAGAAATCAGAACCCAGATACAGTACTAGTGGGAATGTTAAATAGTGTGACTGCTTCAGAAAACAGTTTGGTGGCTTCTCAAAAGATTAAACATATACTTCCTGTATGACCCAGCAATTCCACTCCTAGATATATATCAAGAGAACTGAAAACATATTTCTATGCAAAGTTATGCATAAACGTTCACAAATAGTCATAGCATTATTCACAATAGCCAGAAAAGTGGAAACAACCCAAACATTTGTCAACGATGAATGGATAAATAAAATGTGGTATATCCATACATAGGAATATTCTTCAACAATAAAAAGGAATGGCATGTGAATGCATGTTATAACATGGATGAAACTCAAAAATATTAAACTAATTGAAAGAAAATTGTCACAAAAGACCACATATTGTATTATTTCATTCATTTGAAATGTTCAGAATAGGCATATCCATAAAAATCAATGGATAGAAAAGTACTTAGATGGCTCCTTGGTTAGGCATCCAACTTTGGCTCAGGTCATGCTCTCAGGTTCCTGGGATCAAGCCCCACAGTGAGCCCCACATTAGGATCCACACTCAATGGGGAGTCTGCTTTTCCCTTTCCTCTGCCCCTCCCTCCACTTGTACACAAGCAGGCACTCTCTCTCAAGTAAACAAAATCCTTTTAAAAAGTCAATGGATAGAGAAAATAGATTGATGTTTATCTAGAGCTGGAAAGGCTGAGGGAAAGCTGGGGACATGGGACTGTTAAAGGGTGTAGGGTTTCTTTGGGGATGATGGAAATGTTCTGAAATTGATTCTGGTGAGGTTTGCACAGTTCCATGAATAAACTGAATAAACCGAAAACACTTTAAGTGAGTGAATGGTATGTGAATTATATCAATAAATCTGTTACCAGAAAAATAAAAGTATATCAGAAGTTTCTCCTCTGCTTCAGTTCTCCTTTGGTCATATCAAATGAGATATTAAACTAATGCCTTTATGACTACAGTAGTCTGGAATGAAGTGCCATCCTCCTGTATCTCATTCATTATTTTAATATTCAAGCAATTTGGATACAGTGTAGATCAGCCAATACACAATTCTATGTTACTTTTATTCAAACTTAAATGCTTGACAAAAGGCATTTATCAAAATAAATGCTAGAAGCTGCTCTTTTCTTTCTTTTAAATTATATTGGAAATGACCACCACACATTAATGACGTTTTGAATTGGGCATAAGCAGGACATCCAAAGAAGGAGCAAACATTTCTCAATTTTTTCTTTAATCCTTGAATTCAGTCAGTGTGAATTTTAAAAGTGAATGTGAGGGGTTTGTAAAAAGGAAACTTTATTTCTTCTGAACCTCATTGGCTTTTTATGTCACAGACACATACAAATGGTGCTTTGAAAACTTTTGCTAAATCATGCACATGAAAATAAACAACAGTTTAGGAAGCAAATTCCTAAAACTTGCAATGATGAGGTTAGTTACAATTATAAATTGGACCTTACAGAGCATGCTGAATAGGCGATTATTTCTTATTTCTTATTTCTGTTCTATTTCCTCAAGTTGAAGGTAGACCAAAAGACCTTCCTTGTGTAAGTCTCCATGACTAATTTTTCCTTAATCAAATCAGGAATACAAACTTCCTTTCCTAATAGCACAGGGCCAGAAAACATGATTTTCATTATAGAAAGGACTGTGTACAAAAGGACATTTTAGAAATCTGGGCCAAATGGTATTTTAAGACACTCAGAGCTAGTAAGAATTTGTGTTATGTTTAACTGCATGTTACAGTAAAACAAAATCTTTAAGATGTAAGAATATAAATAGTTGATTGTCACTAGTTAATTATGGCTTAGGCTATCAGACAGATTAAAAAAATCACATATTTAGAAACTGCTCTTTGTATAATTGTTAGCATTTGAGGGAATGAGGGCCTGCTTTGAGAAGTTGAAATGTATAGATCCTATTTTCATGAAAATGTAAGTGGGCATAAATTTTTGCATATACCTTCATGATCACCCCCAAGGCCATTTTAAGATACCAGTTTAAGAATCCAACAAAACTTGGAAAAAAAACCCTAAAGATACCACAGCATACCTATGGATATACTGAAAAAAAAGTCTGACAACACCAAATGGCAACAAGGATATGGAAAAACTATAATTCCCATAAAATTTGGGAAACTATTTGGCAGTTTCTTAAACAGTTAAACATGTATCTATACTGTGACCCAATAATTCTACTCTAAGGTATTTGCCCAATAGAAGTGAAAACATGTGTCTACAAAAGTCTTGTATAAGACTGTCCTTAAAAAAAAAAAAAACAAAAAAACAAACAAACAAAAAAAAAACTGTCCTTAGCCTTATTCTTCTTAATAGCTAAAAACTGGAAACAACTCTTATGGTCATCAACAGTAATATATATAAATTGTAGCCTATTTATACAATGGAAGCCTATACAGAAAACAATAAAATAATGTGCTACTGATACCCACGATAATATATAGCTAAATTTAAAAAACATTATGCTGAATGAAAGAAGCCAAACACAAGAAAGTATGTAGTTTTAGAACAGGCAAAATGAACATACTTCAGTAGAAATCAACAATGGCTGCTTCTGAAGGGTATGATCTTCTAGAAGGGGGCAAATGGGATCTTTCTGGGATGCTGGAAATGTTCTATATTTTGATATGAGTATGAATTACACAGGTGTATGCATTTGTCAAAATTGGTTGAACTGTATACTTTAGATCTACGTGTTTTGCTTTATATAAAATATATCCCAATAAAATATTTTGCAGAAAACAGAGATAAACTGGGGATCTGTAAGTATCAGTACAAATAAGAGAATTCAGATTTTTAACTACACATTTGAGCAAGTATTAGTATAAGCACTGGCTGAGATGGGGTTGTTTCTTTAAATTGTAGAGAACTTATATTTGAATATGAAGCTGTAGACAACACAGAATAAATGACACCTCAAGAAGAAATATGACTTTGTACTTTTATACAGCTTACTTAGTATTTTCCTACATCTTTTGTTTGACTCTTATGGCATTCTGTGAGGAAGGCAGTATGATCGCCACCCTCCTATTGTGCAGATAAGGAAATTGAGGTTCAGAGACATTGAAGGTTCCACCCAAAGCCACACAGCCCATTTGTGGCAGAGCCAGGACCAGAACCTTTATCTTCTAAAGGAAGTTTTGCACTCATTTTACCTCTATTCTTTAGAGAAGGGGAAATTATAGTAGCCAGAGAAACATGTAAGTTTAGATTCCAGAACATGACTATTATTTAGTGAATTAAAAATTAAAAGTGTTTGATACACAACCTTAAGAGCCTCTAGAGCCCTCCTGTATTTGGGTCTCAATAATACCTTGTTCAGGGGATCTCTGGGTGGTCCAGTGGTTTAGTGCCTGCCTTTGGCTCCGGGCGCGATCCTGGAGTCCCAGGATCGAGTCCCGCGTTGGGGCTCCATCCTGTGTCTCTGACTCTCTCTCTGTCTATAATGAATAAATAAACAAATAAAATTTAAAAAATAATAATAATACTTGTTCACTGAAAAAGCATGACTGGATCACATTAACAACACTCTGTGTTAGTTTGAGTTTCTCTGTTACTCAGCACCAAGCTTCATTAGTAATTTAAGGACACATGTAATTGAGAGCATAGGGAAAACCAGGAGAGATCCAGGACATGGAGAGTGGCTCCCCAGATCTTTTTATCCTGCATCAGAAATGTACTCTCTGGCCCAGAGCAATGATAGAGTCTCCAAAGAGATTCGTGGGTTACCTCACACAGCAAGGAGATTATAGGTAATGAATTATCTCCATTTTATACCCAGATCATTATGTAACTCACATGAAATCCACCAAGGAGCCATGCCAATCCATAGACTCTAAATTAGTTTTCCATAAACAATCCTTAATCAGAGTCATTCCTGCTAAGAGCATTCTATAGGTGGGTACTCTCTTCCTAGTCAGTCTCGTTAGTTTATTTACTAGGAGGCCGATTATCAGCATGTTTATAAGGAGATTACAGCAGATCACTTGCTTTCTTTGTCTCCCAGGAGTGTCTTCCTCTTAATAGGAGAGAAATGAATGATAGGCCAGCTGCTTAATTTCTTCCTCCCCAGGACTGAAATCCAAGTGCTACCCCATGGACCACAATCCAACCCTGCCACACTTTAGTTTTTTGCATCTCTAAGTAGCCTCTAAGAACAGCCATCCCAAAGACTGGGTAATTGGGTCATGATGCTGGGGGTGATTCAGGGATATGTAAGAGAAGAACAAGTAAACAAAGAAATCAAATATTAAGGTCCATTTACTGAAGGCCCACTACTACAAGTTTAGAATGGAGTATTACCTTGCTGAGCTAAAGCTCAGAGAAGTTAAGTAACTTGCCCAAGGTCACACAAGCGGGGGGACAAAACCAAGATTTATTTTTTTAAGATTATTTATTTATTTATTCATAGAGACACACAGAGAGAGAGAGAGAGAGAGAGAGAGAGAGAGAGAGAGAGAGAGAGGCAGAGACACAGGCAGAGGGAGAAGCAGGCATCCTGCAGAGAGCCTGACGCGGGACTCTATCCAGGGTCTCCAGGATCACACCCTGGGCTGCAGGTGGCGCTAAACCGCTGCGCCACCGGGGCTGCCCCAAAACCAAGATTTAAACACAAACTAGTCTGAGGCCCAATTTCAACCTCAAACTGTTCCTCATCCCCTTCTTTACCATGCTTATGATGCTGGAGCTTGCAATCTGCAGACCACATCTTGGTTTTTCCAGCTCTGCCACCATAGGCGCTATAGGAAGACTACAAGGCTGATGGAGGGAGAAAGGATATATATACTTTTACCTGTTTGCTTCCTGTTCCTGAAAGTGTCACCCCAGAAATGTCTCTTCACTTCAATATTAGCCACGTCTCTCTACAGTAGAAGCTGAAGCCAGTGTTTAGTTTCTCTGATACTTATAAAACAAGCCTCAGAAACACTTGCACCAGCCAGCTTGGGCCTCTTCCTCAAAGCTGTGAGTCCCAGACCCCAAGACCATCTTCTGAGTTTCCAAGCTTTAATAATTCTAACCTCTTCCATCTGTTCCCCTAAACCTAGGGGTGGTAGCTGCATCCTACAATTGCTGCCTGATACCTCTGTGTTTTCTTTTTTACTTTATCAATTATGGAGTTAACAATCCTTTAAATTCCTTTAGTTCAAATTACTGGTATGATGTTGGTCTTCTACCATCCATTCTTGCTCTCCATTCCCCACTCATGTCCTCCATTTGTATCCATATGGCAAAGTGGGTGGGAGCATCCCTCCTCCTTACACACATCCTGCTTATGTTAGCTTTAATTTTATTGGAGATGTAGGGGTCTTAGGAAGGAAACTGAAGTTTATGTAACTAGTGCCCTCTACACCTTTTTGCTCAAGCCCAAGCCACTGAGTATTCTTAATTTGATATATATATTACTTTTTATAATTTTTATTAAAGTATAATTTATGGAAAATGAAGTCATCCTTCAAAAGGTACAATCTGATGCATCCTGAGACATTATGCTCCTGGAAACCATTGACACCATCAAGATACAGAACATTTCCCTCCCATACCCAAGGTTTCCCCATCCCCTTGTAAGTCCATCCCTATCCTTTACCCAGATAACTAATCAACCAATTTATTTCTGATGCTATAAATTAGCCTGAATTTTCTGAGTTTGTATCAGTGGAATTATATGATATATAGTCCTTTGCGTCTAGCTTTTTTCACTCAATGTAATGACTTTGAGATTCATCCATGTTGCATTTCTCAATTGTTTAGTTCTTTTTATTGCTAAGTAAATTCCATTATATGGGTGTCCCATAGCTTGTTAGTCCATTCAAATGTTGATTCACATTTGGGTAATTTCTACTTTGGAGTTATTATGACTAAGGCCACTATGAATATTTACGTATAAATCTTTGTGTAGTAAATACCTGGAAGGGAAGATGTTATTTTTATATTTAGGTGCCACTTACATAAAGTGCACAAATCATAAATGTACAGATTGATAATTTCTTATATTCATATGCACCTGTGTAATACCATCCAGATTAAGATTTAGAACATTTTCAAAAAATAAAAAATAAATTTAAAAAAAGATTTAGAACATTTTCAATACACAGGTGCCCCTTCCCTGTCAGCAGACTGCTGCAGAGATTATTACTATTCTAACTTTTATCTCTATTGATTAGTTTTGTTTGGGGACAACATATAAAGGGAATTATAAAGTGTGTATAGTACTCTTTTGTGTGTAGCTTCTCTTGCTCAACAGCTGTCTGAGATTCATTAATGCTGTTGTGTAGGGTTGGAGTCCGTTCATTTTATTGCAGTGCCACATTGCACTGTATAAGTACACCACATTTACTTATCCTTTCCCCTGTTGATGGATATAGGAGCCGTTCCCAGGTTTCTTTTCTTATAGCTACTAATGGGTATTCTTGTACATAACTTTGGTGAACATATAATATCATTTTTCTTGACCCAGTAATGGGATTGTTGAGTAATGGGGTAGGCTTATGTTTTACTTTTTAGAGTGGTTTTATTTACTTACTTCCCACCAATATATGACAATTTGAATTACTTCATATTCTCATTAGTACTTGGTATTGAAGGTCTTTTTAATTTTAGTCATTCTGGGAGGTGCACTCATTTGTGTGATGATCTCATTTTGGTTTTAATTTATATTTCCCTGATGAAAAATTATGTTGGGAACTTTTCTTACACTTAATAGTCATTTGAATATACTTTTTGGTGAAGTGTTTGTTCAAGGTTTTTTTCCATTTTTAATTACATTGTCCATTATTGATTTGTAGGAGTTTTTTACATGTGCTGGATATAAATCCTTTGAAATACCGTCTTCTAGTCTGTGGCTTGCATTTTCACTTTTCAGTGTTTTTGATGAATATAATTTCTTATTTTAATGAAATCTAATTTATCAACCTCAGCTTTCATGATAACTGCTATTCGTATTCCCTTTACAAAATCTTTACCTATCCCAAGGTCATTTAACATTCATGTAAGGTAAGGTACCTATGTGAAATTTCAGGGGTTCAAGGTACCAGGTTCATATATTGTATGATGAGTTTTAGTTTTAGATCCTGTGCCCTAGGAGATGGAACTGACATTCATGCAGGGGAGAGGAGCGGGGGAAACTCACAAAATAAGGAGCTAGGAGAGCAGTTTGGGACAAGAGAATACAGAGCTCAAGAGAAAAGGAAAATCATGAAGGAAGATGGGGATAAGTTAAAAGACACAATGGAAAGAAACAGAGAGGAAGAAAGAAAGAGGGTGAGGAAGACAAAGGACGCCTCACTAGCCTAAGCAAAATGTGCTCTCAGGAATCTGAGGACTCTGGCCAGGAAGGGGGTAGCCATATGGGCAGATCAAAAGTCCCTCCCCCAGTCCTCCCAAGCCTCTCTTCCCTCCCTTTGTTCAGGCCAGGAAGCACTTACCCTTGAAAAGCATTTTTTTAAAAAAACACTGGCTGATTTTGTTATAAGAAATCTTTATTTCCCAAGGACATGCTAAGACATCACTACATTAACATGTACCTGAAGACACATCTAGGTTATGACCAATATCCAGAAATTAACCCTGGCAAAATGTGTAGTACTTATAAATGTTGGCTTTAGAGCCACATAAACCTAGGTGCCATTACTTACTCCTGTTCTTAGACAAGTTAATCAGCTTCTGTGAAGCTTTTTTCACCTATTAAATAAGTATTCATTCATTCATTCATCAAATTATTTACTGAGTACCTGTTATATGTCAGCGACTGTATTAAGCATAGAGAATTTGTATATAAAATGAAAAAATTCTTTACCGTCATGAAGCTTTCCTTCTAACAAGGGAAGCAGACAATAAACAAGGTGAAATAGTATAATGTATGATATGATATATAGTGGTAAGTAGGGAGTAGTGGAAAGTGATAGCATTCTGGGTGTATTTTGAAGGTAGTAGCAACATAATTTACTTCTGAACCCAATGTGTAGTATGAAAGAAGTAAGGAATACAAGGAAAAGCTGAGAAGGATACCAGGATTTGTGACCTGAGCAATTGGTGAAGAATGGAGTTAACCATTACCCAGGATGGGGAAAATTGCAGGAGATACTGAATGAGCTCACATCAGGATACATTACATTTTAGATGCTATTAGACATCCAGAAGGAGATCTCAAGTTGGTAGTTGGATATACAAGTTCAGGGAAGAGGTACAGATTGGAGATATATATTTGGAAGTCATCAATGAATTAATAGTATTGAAAGCCATAAAACTGCATGAGATCATCCAAAGAGTGACTGAAAAGAAAGAATATATAAATGTTGTTCCACTCATTTGTTGGTTGTTGGTAACGTGCGTGTGGGGTGTGTGTGTATGGGTCTGTGTGTCTGTGTGTGAGACAGAGAGAGAGAGAGGTTTAGTTGAATTAATACTAAGAGTTTTATTTATTGAGCTTTCTGTATGTGCCAGG